CCAGAAATATCTAAATCAACCTCATAGGGCCCTCCCACGAGTCCCACATCGGAAATGAGTACTAAGAGCATACTAAATGCCCTCTATAAATAGGCCCCTCCACTACAATACAGGGGTAAGACTTTTCAGCTTGACTTTTATACTTCTATATGGTCAACAGCAAGAGCTCTTAAAACAACAAACTTACTTCAGCATCGGAGGGTCTTAGGCTGGTTCCACACCGGTTCCATAGACCTTACGAGTCTCGACTTCTTTCTATTCAGGATCAGCATCCAAGGACAGGAAGAATCGGCATCCAATATTCAATCGATCTCTCGATCGTCCATCCCATTTGTAAGTTGCACTCATCTCTATCTGTTCAAGATTTAGCGTCAACACCCCTTATACATCAAATTGGTCTATGTTGTGAGGTTCCTTTATGTATTGAGTTAAAATGTTGACGTGGCACATATGTAGGATACCAACTTGTGTACCAACTCTCTAATAGAGCGTGGGACCCATTGTATTGGTGGGCTCCACCTCTATTAGAGAGTTGGTACACAAGTTGGTATCTAAAGTTGGTCTACTTAGCATGACCCATAATATAATGGCACATGAATTTTTTTAAAATATAGGTAAAAACTTAAATTCCATAAATAAATAAAAATTAAGAGTATTTTATTTATTAAAAAAACTGCACCTCTCCTTCCCTCTTCCACCTCCCCTCTTTGCCTCCCAATCTAGTCTCTCTCTCGCTTTCTCCCCCATCCAAAGTAGAACCAACTCATACACAGCACCCCCGATCCACACCTCCAGACCTCTCCTCAACCCACACTCACAATAGACCCCCACATTAGATCCAACCCACAAACCCTAACATAAGGTTTTTTTTGAGGAAAAACATCCCGAACTATCACGCATGTTGAAATGATCACCCTGAACTTCTTTTTCCTACCAATTTAGCCCTCAATTTTTTTTTTATTGCCAATTTACCCCCCCCCCTCCAACGTCAGTTTTTAGCAAATTCCATCCAAGTCTTTGTTTAAAAAAACCACATGAATGCCACGTGCCTCAACTTTTGAGGGTATTCTTGTCCAACCCCCATCCCCACCTCCCCATACCCACCACCTAGATCCACCTCCTCCTCGCACTCTTCGCTAACCTAGTACAACCCCACCATCACCACTGCCATAGAGAAAAGGGTTTGCAATGGTGTTTGGCGTAATCGTAGACAAGAAGATAGTGTTTTGACGTCGTCTCAAGGTTGTATAGAAGAAGTATAAGTTGGAAGTCGTCGTCGCCTCCCTCAATTTGTTGCTCAACGACCACTACGCCTTCGCTTCCCTTTGCCTTCGGAAACTGCATTACTGCGTCGTTTGTCGAGTTGCCACTGTCTTGAAGACCTCGTACACCTCCTCAGTATTGGTCATCTCCAATGGACCATCACCCCTATCAGCTCATGGAGAAATTATAGAATGATACTGTATCATCACGTCAGCTAGTGATACTCCCATTCAAAATCTGCCACGTGTACTTTTTAAAACAAAATTAAACTATATTTTACAACTGGACTTTGGCTTACAACTTTACCCTTCCAACTTTAATGACCCCAACCCTTCCCTCCTCCGTCTTCCCTGTCCACCGTCTTCTTCCCTGCGCTATGCCTCCCATTTGCGACACCACACATCTTCCCTTCTCCCTCACCACCTACCTCAGGCTTCACCGTCTTCATAGTTAATGAATCTAAAGAACTTCTATTGTCAAAGGACTCAAAACCCATAAACAAAATCCGGTCAAACTCTACTATTGTATCTCTGGAGACACCCTTGAAGCTAAAGAAGATGGGTTTTTTTTTTAAGATTTATGGTTTCATGCTTAATGGGTTTGCACATATTTTTAAGATTTTTGGATTTTTATTAATGGGTTTAACTTTTCACCGAAAATGAGAGGGAGAGAAAGAGGGGGTGGGAATATTGGAGGGGGAGGGAAGGCCGGGGTGGGTGGCTGAGAGGGTGAAGGGAAGAGGGTTGTGCGGCGTTGATAGCAGGGGCATAGCACAGGGAAGATGGAGGAGGGAAGGGTTGGGGTCATTAAAGTTGGAAGGGTAAAGTTGTAAGCCAAAGTCCAGTTGTAAAATATAGTTTAATTTTATTTTAAAAAGTACACGTGGCAGATTTTGAATGGGAGTATCACTAGCTGACGTGGTGATACAGTATCATTCTATAATTTCTCCAGCTCATGGGCTTGCAGGCCTAATGACGACCCCTAATTTTTACCCATTATATATCCTTACACAAATGTTAAAATTCCAAATTTGCAATTCGCTTTAAACTCAATAATTTATTTAGAATAAGTTCATTTTAACAATCAAATTAGTTTCAATTCATATTCATGAAAATTTTGGAAACAACTTAAAAGAGCATCTCCAACAGCCTATTCAACAGCGAGAGCATTTTTGTCCACCACTTTAATTCAAGGTGTATGTTCACCACTCTTTTCAACATTTGACACGTGTTCATATGCATAACCATAGTTGCATAATACAAAATAAAAAGTTAAACATAGTTATGTCTATGGACATGTGTCAAGTATTAAGAAGAGTGATGAGGATACACATAGGTTAAAATAAACATGCCTCCTCAATTTAATTGATATTGGCTTTTCAAAATTAATCATTCCTGCTCAATTCAGTTCCTCTAATCCGATTAGGATTAGTAAACATGCCACAATATGATATTTTCGTGAACTGTGAAATTAAGCCATTTATTTCTCTCACGTCTCTCTCTCTCTCTCTCTCTCTCTCTCTCACTCACTCAACCCTTAACAACAAGGAATTGAATTGCAGTATACCCGAAACTAAGTTGGAAGTCGCCGTCGCCTCCCTTAATTCATTACTCAGCCCACTACGCCTTCGCTTCCCTTTGCCTTCGGAAATTGCATTACAGCGTCGTTTGTCAAGTTGCCACCATCTTGAAGACCTCGTACACCTTGTCGGTATTGGTCATCTCCAATGGACCATCACCCCATAGCTCCTTCAAGTCCTCCTCTCTCAAACTCTCTGGGCCCTCCGGAAAATCAAAGAGGTCCTCGTAAAAAACGTAGTTTTTGTCCTCCTTGTTTGTGCAAATTTCTCACGGGAGAATATTTGTAGATGATTCTTCTTTCTTCTTCGTCCCTCCTTCTAGATTCCCTGCAAGACAAAATAAATCAATCGAAAAACCACCGGTGTGGTGGTGGCCAAGGGCCCTCTGATGCCTAAGTCAGCAATAACACGGGGTAGTTCTGATAGGTCCAAAGGCCTAAGTCAGCAATAAAACGGGGTAGTTCTGAAAGGTGCAGAGGCTTAAATCCAATATGATCCAATCCGACCTAATTGATATTGGATTAGATTGGATGATCGGTTTTCATAATGAAACAAAAATAATAATGATATATGAAACATTTATCGTCAAGTTGAATATAATCAAACATTTTAATAGACATCAATGTAAAATATAAATGAAATGTTAGAGAAAATTATTTTGATTTTATAATATATTAAACATAATCAATCAAATTACTTATAATGTTTATAACTTTCTTAATGAAAATTACCTAATGAGAAAAATAAGTATGAAACTAACTAGATTGGATTTGATTTGATTAAATTTTCACAAGCAAATCAGCCATATGATCCAATCATGTAGTACATGAAGGGTCACATACATTATGAATTTACATTTATAATGTAACTCATAATGGGGAACATCATCGGTCGGTTTGGGAGGATTGGATTGGATCTTGCACACCCCTATTCTAATTACTGGAGAACTAGCCCATGAGGCATCCATCATTTTTACTAGGCCTCGTCAATGAGCTAGACCGGGCTAGCCCAGCCCAAATTTAATGGGCTTGGGTCGGGCCGTATTTTTTTTTTGAAAATTTAAAGCCCGAGCCTAGCCCATGGGCCAGGCTTGAAAAATCTCATCGGGCTTGGGCGGGCCTAAATGAGCCTACTTTATTTTGTCTTTTTTTGTAATATGTATTTTTTTTCTATGTTTTGGTGTGTTTCTATGTTTCCTCATTTTTTTCATAGTTCTCTATTTACATTTGTCTATATGTTTATGTCTCCATTTTTTTCTTTGTTCATAACTTCATAGTTCGCTTTTTCCTTTTTTCCCCATAAATATAAAGATATAGTTATACAACCCCACATTAATAAATTCATATTTTTTCTCATACTTCATTTTTTTAATTCTTACAATGATAATAGATAATGATTTTCTCCATATTTCATTTAACTTGGGTTTTTTTAATATCTATTTATTTATACGTATGTGAGCCCGTGGGCCAGGCTTTCTTGGGCTCAAACGGCCCGAGTCTGTTGGCCAGGCCGGGCTTTAGACACCCAAGCCCAAGCCCGGCCCACTCAACAACGGGCCAAGCTTTTTCTGAATGGGCCGGGCGGGCCCCCATCTGCCCATGGGCTCGCGAGCCTAATGATGACCCCTAATTTTTACCCATTATATCCTTATACAAATTTTAAAATTCCAAATTTGCAATTCGCTTTAAACTCAATAATTTATTTAGAATAAGTGCATTTTAACAATCAAATTAGTTTCAATTCATATTCATGATAATTTAGGAAACAACTTAAAAGAGCATCTCCAATAGCCTATTCAACAGCGAGAGCATTTTTGTCCACCACTTTAATCAAGGTGTATGTTCACCACTTTTTTCAACATTTGACACGTGTTCATATGTATAACCATAATTTCATAATACAAAATAAAAAGTTATACATAGTTATGTCTATGGACACATGTCAAGTATTAAGAAGAGTGATGATGATACACATATGCCTCCTCAATTTAATTGATATTGGCTTTTCAAAATTAATCATTCCTGCTCAATTCAGTTCCTCTAATCCGATTAGGATTAGTAAACATGTCACAGTCTGATATTTTCGTGAACTGTGAAATTAAGCCATTTATTTATCTCACGTCTCTCTCTCTCTCTCTCTCTCAACCCTTAACAATAAGGAATAGAATTGCAGTATACCCGAAACTAAAAGGAACCAGCCAGCTCATCCCCCATAAAAGCCTCCCAGCCGTGAGAATCACCATTCCCTTGTTCCGATATCTGAGTTTATTTATTTGTTTTTTTGAAACTGAATCTTATCTCTCGGTATTTCATCTCTCATGGCTGAATCGGAAAGCCCCCTCCTCAATGAATTCTGTGCTGCCGACGCTGGCACCGCCCCGCAGTCCCGCCGGCTCCGCATCCGCTTCAAGGGCCCCGCCCCCTGTCCTGTGCCGGACCCCAACGACGGCCAATGCTTGAAACAGAGCGTTAATGCTTGTAAAAGCTTCAATAGAAACAGAATTGCCGACAATGGTAAGAAACTTCTTTTCTCCAATCTGTGGAATTTAGGTGCCCTTTTTGAATCTGGTTTCATGACCATTACGCACTTTTGTTATTGGTGACTAGAATTAACGGTTAAGGTAATAGGAATTTTCATATGTTAATAGGTCTTATTAAAAATTTGGTAGTCATGGTCAGGAAGAAACTGTCTGTATGTTCATTGCTGCTGTTGAAAATCACTTGCGTTGTGTGCGATGTGTTTTATGAGTTTTGAACTCTTGGTAAACCGTTTACCAGTTCAAGCTTTTCCATTAGATTGATGCTTTAATTGTTATTGCTTATGTGCTGGGTGGACTGCTTGTAGTTTTCGTTTCCTAATGTATGCAGAACTATTTTTATTTTGATGGCCAATGTAGTTAGACTCTTGTTTTATGAATCTTGCAGGAATTCAGAAATCTAGTGATGCTAAACATGTTGCTAGATCTGCAAAGATACCCGAGTTCAGCACCAATACTCTTATGAGCTCTAAGCATGACAATGGTTCCATGAAGCTTTTATCTGGATTTGTTGAGCAGAACCAATTCAAGGCCAACACTCTATGCAGGTTTCTTTCAAATTACACAATTTCTATTCCTAGAGTTGAAAACAGATTAGAATTCACACTTCTGTATCCCTTCTAGGGATAAATAGTTTTAGGAACATTCATGTGATCTAGGCCTCATTTCTTTATAAATTTTTCAGGCCTAGTTCTGCCATACAAATTCGTTTTAGTTAATGAACACCATTTGTCGATTCCACGCAACATTTTCTTTATAGGGCGTAAATTATATGTATAATATATTGCATGGCGCAGGTCGACGAGAGGCGATACTGCTACCAAAGCAAGGAAGAGAACCCGATTGTCTCTTGGATTGCCGACCTCGAGTAAGTTAAAAAGATCAAAGAGATCATTATCAGCAGAAAGAAGAACATCAATTGATGATCTACCTAATGGTATATTGGCTGAAATCCTATGCCGACTTGCATGCACTAAATATGTTTTTCAATGCAAAACTGTGTCCAAGCGTTGGTGCACCCTCATTGAAGATCCTTATTTTATTGGCTGCTTTGTAAGTATCCAAAGTTATAAGGGAATTCCAAAGATACGCACTTTGATAACCAAAAGAGCTGTGGAATTCCGTCCTATGGTGTCGTCGTCACCCAATCTACGACCTTGGGCGCTCAATAGATTCATGCGTTTCCACCGTTTGATGGAAAAACCAGTTGTTGTAGCGACATATAATGACTTGGTTTTGTGCTGCATGACGGAGGATTATCAACGCATATACTACATCTGCAATGCGTACACCATGCAATATGCTGTACTTCCTCCCACCCCAAGTAAATGCCACAAGAGTGTGCGGGTAGGATTCATCTGCAATGTTCCTGACTATAAATGCGAGGAAGATGATTGGAAAGGAAACAACTTCCAGCATAATGTTCAGTGTAGGTACACGGTTGTGAGAATTCTTCCTCCTGTCGAATTTGAAAATGGTGAGAAGAAATGTGATACATTCAAATTAAACGTGGATATCTTCTCTTCTGACACTGGGGAGTGGAGAGAATCAGTTGTCTCGTCCCCACGGCACTTCGATTTTGGTCGCCTCAAGGAGTTATCCTTTACATACAATGGAATGTTATATTGGCTAACAGAATTCGACTTTATTGTTATTGGTTTGGGTCCATTCTACGACAATGATGGAACTAGCAGCAGCAACAATAATGGTGATGGTATTATTGATCATAAACTGGGTTTCACCATATTTGAGGAGACTCTAGACTTTGGTTTTATGCTTCAGTACTTGGGTGTGTGCAGAGGATATGTGCTATTGTGCAACATGAGCATGCTCTCCAGAAGTCTGTATCTATATGAGTTGAAACAATCACAAGATGATGGAGGAGCAGCTGCTGGCAAAAAGTTGTATTTGAGTAAACGCGGGGTTTATTCCTTTGAAGCTGAAATGATTCCGTTCAAATCGAGTATGTTTCCGATTGCTTTTGACCCAAGTAATAAGGATATTTTTTATCTGCATGTGGACGATGACATTATCAAGTGGAACGTTCACACAGGAAAGTGGTCAAAGATATTTAAACACTGGGCAAAACGTCCGGGCTATTACACAGTTGTGTTCCCATGGTGGCCGACCTCAATTCCTAGACTACCCCAGCAGCAGCAGCAGCAGCAGCAGCATGCCCATCTCTGCTAGCTGGAGGAACTAGAAGCTAGCTAGTAGATTGCAAGAATTAAAGTAGTAAACTTTTATTTGTTTGCGATTGGACTTTGTATTTTAATTGGGAGTGGTTAATTTTCTGCAGTTTTCTCATGCAGGCGAATTCAGGAATTCCTGTATATGTATATATGCTCGTCGCCATCTAGAGCATATCTTAATTTCCCTTCCTGACTCTTTTTCATTCTATTAATTAAGAATAATGTAGCTCTCTAGGTACGTTATGTATTTTCTTTTTCTATTCACCAAGAGGAAACTTGTTCGAATTTTAGCATGAGACTCAAGAGAAAAGAATGAGTCAGCAAATGTTGGATACAAAATTATGATTTTTTTCTGGTTAAGAGAGGTAAATGGGTCCTTTCGATTTTGGCATTGGCTCAACGATCACCAACGGACGAAAAACGGAAGCTCGAAGAACTTCCGAAGATGGCACTACGTTTTCGTTTTCTAAGTCCCTTCATCATCTTCTCCTCCTCTACACTCCCATCGGCGAACCAACCACCGGCGACAATGACTCTGATGACGACGACCACCTCCTCTTTCATTCTAGAATCCAATCATTCTAGTTGGATTCGTTGTTGATTAATAGTAAATATACACATAATACAGTAACATGTTTTCCTAAAGAATGCTAGAGCTGAATGAATACATTATTGGTTATTGAACTTATTCTTTATACAATTATATATATAGTTTACTATCATTCAATTTTTCGAGTTTTTCTTCATCTTAAAACTCTGAACTTTATCTGTCAAGGATATATATATATATATATATAATGGCTTTGATTCATAGTTCTCAGTACGACAGACACCTTTCTCCCATCTACAATTGGATTTGTTTTGAATTGGTTTTAGGACCTAACCAGACAGCCAAAAAAGGTCAGCAAGATACTGCAGTTCAGTTAAGTCACCATATACCTTGAGCCATTATTATACTCAATGTACATCTATGGTAGTGTTTCTGGTACCAGCAGCCACCAGTTTGTCGTGGTCTGAGACAACTTCTGGTTCTATCCCATGGGACGAGGAACTGTCCGTTTTTATATTATCAGATGCATCAGAATCTGAGTCTAACTTGATAGAATCCCACGTAAGAGCAGCAGTGCAGCACTGGTAGGGGCAGGTTCTGAGGCTGCCAAAGCAGGATTTCCTCTTGTCCAAATTGCCAAATTGCAGGCATCTTCTTGTCATCCTCTTTCATCCTCACAGCATATTTATTTATATCAAAACCTGATGCTCCCTCCGTCTTTCTTTTGACCGACAAATTGCGCGTTTGATCCCATGGTTGTCCATGAAACCATTAGGCCACAATCCTGCTAGCTGAATCATATGAGACTAATTAAGTCAGGAAAGCTTCATACATTTAGGTGATTACAAAAAGCTTTTAAAAGAACACTTTCAGAGATGTACTATTACTGGTTGAAAGTTGCTATGTTGAATTCAGATATCACACCTCTTTGTGAAAGAAAATATTACATTGGGGGTAGGGGTGGGGGTGTGTGTGTGGGGGCAGAGAGAGAGAGAGAACAGGCACTCGTAATTCAAATTGAAGAATTCAAGTGAAACGACCAAAAACTAAACTGCAAACCCCCAATACTGCAGTAAGAAGAATCAAATCCTAGATCTACTGCCTTCATGTTACATTGCAGTTCGTACAGAAACTTTAAACAGAACATGTTGGAAGCTGCAAGAGAGCCCAGGCAATACAAATCACAAAACAGGGAAAAATACAGCGAAAAGGGTGAAGTACCTCAGCATAGAGCTTTCTTATTTGGGGACCTGCGTCTTCATCCAGCCCCTAGAACCAAGAAATAAAGACCAGGGAATCAGGCAACAATAAAGGAATTTATCTGCAAAATAAAGGAACAAAATTTTCAATGACGGAATTTGCAAGCTTGAGTCAGTACATCAACAAAAAGGTCATAGAGGTCACAAATCTTATCCTCCAATGCAGCATCCATGCTAAATTTTCTTTGAGAAAGTTCTTTTGCTCCAGAGGCAATTTCTTGAAAATCATCTGATGCTCGAGATTGTTGTTGCAATGCCTGAAAACATATTATGCACTTTCCATTAGAGCCGCAGACAAAGGTTATTCTTATTACTCTTTCCATTGTGACATGGTGCAAGCATCACGAGGGGAAATGGAAAAATAAAATAAATGGTTCGGAATCTTCTCACAACGGAACAAATATGAAATATCTTCCACAGAAGGCACTACCTAAAACACGAGTTACTGAAAAATCCACTATTCAATATGATTATTCCACTTTTGTAAATCATTTTTCACCCAGCAAAAAAGACAGCAATTAAAACACCACACCTCAGTAAGGCCCTGCTACACATACCTTGGACTCCAGAGCATCCACCTAAACCCTAAACTGACAAAGAATGCTTTGGGGGTTCAGGTGGATGCTCTGGCTCAGCAAATTTATATCCCTTGGCATTGAGTTCAGCATAAAGCTGTCAATTGGGATCCGAGGAGGTGATGTCGCCACGGCTGTCGGAGCTAACGTAGGTTGAGGAGGTAGCGGAGGACCAGTAAACTGAGGAGGGAGCGGAGGACCAGTAGGCTGAGGAGGGAGCGGAGTGGAGGGAGGGACAGAGGCCGCAGAATCAGAAGGAGAAGCCATGAAAGTACAGAGAACGAAGAAATCAGAGTGTTTCAGAAGCAAGAAAGATCAAGAAAACTAAAGAAAATGAGGGGAGAAAAGTCACGAGACAGAAGGCTCTCGATACCGTAAGAAGAAATGAATATTCTCTCTCAATCCATTAACAATAATTGTCAGAGAAAGAAGAAATCAGAGTGTTAGAAAAGCGAGAAAGAGCAAGAAAACAAAGAAAATGAGGGGAGAACAGCGGTGAGACAGAAGGCTCTCCGTACCGAGAAATGAATATTCTGTCCATTAATTAACAATAACTGTTACACTGTAAATATATAAAGACCAAGGCTGAGCTGCCAACTGTACAACTTGTTATAGGCTAACTCCACTAATTCTAACAATCACTTAACTAACCGTAACAACAATAACAGCTTGCACTTAATCACTAAGTAATCATTGACTGAGATGACTGGTAATGATTTGATATGGAACTAACTATGAGAGATCTCTTCTCTTTCAAGGAGATGGTTCCGCCCTAGTGACAGTTACTTCAGGCGGAGCTAACGGAGGCTCTGGATCTGGATCTTGCTCAGTAGCAATGAGGAGGGCGCGGAGGACCTAGGTTCCTGGAGAGGCTAGAGCTGAATGAATAGATTATTAGTTATTGAACTTATTCTTTATACAATTATATATATAGTTTACTATCATTACTATGTATAAGCATCTGATATTAAATTCTGAGTGTAAGAGTTTCCTATGAGACTCTTTAATCTTCTTTTTCTTTTTTCTTTTTTGTGCTATAAGCTTTGCGGCTGGTATTTTAAGCTTTTGTGATAGTGTTCAAACCTAGAGTATATGCGATGCAATTCCCAGCAACTGGCAAAAGCTTTAACTTATATATATATATATATATATATATATATGGCTTTGATTCATAGTTCTCAGTACGATGGACACCTTTCTCCCATCTATAATTGGATTTGTTTTGAATTGGTTTTACATACTTAATTGGATCGGATTGGATTCTAATATAGCAAATCCAATTGTAATTGAATTGAATTGAACTTGTTTTTTCTATAAGGAAAAAGATGCACATGCGTGGAGAAAATGTTTTAAGTGAAGAGTGAACAATAAGGCACAAAGAACGGAGACAGACACTATATCTCTTATGTGAATTGTGGACTACATGAGTTCTGATTACCTTACACAAGGCGAATACATTCATCGGGTCTCCAAAATGCTCAAATAAATTGATAACTCGAGTTCATAGAATCCCTCTAAATTTTTAGTATCTAACCAGACAGCCAAAAAGGGTCAGCAAGATACAGCAGTTCAGTTAAGTCACCATATACCTTGAGCCAATATTTTACTCAATGTACATCTTCGGTAGCGTTTCTGGTACCGGCAGCCACCAGTTCGTCATGGTCTGAGACAACTTCTGGTTCTATCCCATGGGACGAGGAACTGTCTGTTTTTCCATTATCAGATGCATCAGAATCTGAATCTAACTTGATAGAATCCAATGTAAGAGCAGCACTAGTAGGGGCAGGTTCTGAGGCTGCCAAAGCAGGATTTCCTCTTTTCCAAATTGCAGGCATCTTCTTGTCATCCTCTTTCATCCTCTCAGCATATTTATTTATATCAAAACCTGATGTATCATTCCCCCCAAATGCAGCCTCCAGTTTATCAATATCAAATAGATCCTCCATTATCTTCTTGGCGTTGACATCATCTGAGTAAACAAACTTGACTTTGTTGTAAGTCTTTGGCTCTAGAAAAGGCTTTACCATCTGCAACAAAAGACATTATTTTAAGTACCATAGCCACCAAGCTGATATATTTGGCTATAGATTTCTCCACATTAATACAAATCTACCAAGTACCAAGCGACATCCTCTCTATTTGAGACTTTACTAAAAGGGGAAAAGGGGATGGCCAGCCCCTTGGAATGGCACAGGATAACATGAAACTGCCAAAAAATCATGTTTACAAGTGTACGAATTTTATTACTATGGATCTTATTAATTTATCACGAAAAAAGTTTGGCTTTTTTCCACTTTCAAATTTAGGTCGTCATTCGCAATTCACGTGCCAAAAGGAAATATGACCAAAGGCCAAAAGCTGTACAACTCCGAAAAGATACTGTTACAGCTTTATAAAAATGATCATCTGCAAAGTATAGATCTAGTGAAAAGTTAAACAATAAAATTTGCAATCAACTGGGCTTACCGTAAAGAATGGTTCAAAAAACTTTGGTGGATTGTACAGTATTGCAAGACCTAGGCGTTCTGGATAATGGTCTTGTAAAACATGGGCAGTTTCCCGTGTCAACTTCACTGAAATATGTGACAAATTGAAACCTTGAAAATCTATCATCCAAACCATTTGTTCCTGATCTGGAGGTAGATTTAAAATAGCATTCTCCATGCAGTATACCAAGTATCTAATCTGTCCTTTAGTCGACTTTGAGTTCTGCAATTAAAAGAAACTACAAAATGTTAATAAGGAAAAATAGTTTTCTTCTGAACTATAGATCTCCAAAGCATTACATTTATAGGCATATATAGCATATCCTATTATCAGGAATTCGACAAGATGCTATGGGCAATGATTTTGTCACTGATTGTGCACTACGATTAATATGCTTATTATCTCTTTTTGGAAAAACTATCTGCTTCAATATGGGATATTTTGGTTAGATAAGATGAATAAAGCTGACAAATAACAACAGTTTTACAGCACATAAGATTCCAGATGTAGCTCAGAGACAAATTCAAATATTAAGTTATAGCTAACTTATAAATCACAAATAATTCATGGAGGTGTCAGAAGGGCTTTGAAGATAAAACCTGACAACTAGGTCTCATGACAAGAACTGGTCTCCCATGCTTGTCAAAATAATTTGATCTGTAAATTTTCCCTGTTTCTGCTTCACGAGCTACCTCTTCCTGTATTACAAATGGAAATGATGAATGTGTAAGACTATCGTTACTTCAGTAATCATATACTAGAAGAACTTGACCTGGATTCACAACCTCCAACCCTAACGACTCCAGATGACCCTTGTAATTATCTGGGTTTGAAGTAATTATAGCTATGCTGGACTTTGAGTGTCTATCAATTTTCTTACAGTTTACTAGATAGGTGGGGTTGAATTCAGAAAGAACTGCTAATAGGTGTGGAAGGTTGAAATTTTACAAAATCCAGAAAGGTCAATTGACTCAGGTTGAGTACACTGAACCACAACCATATACGCCAGTTCAGGATGCACTGAAAACAAAGAAAGAAAAACAAAGGATGCAACCTGCAGAATATATCAGGCTTCATTTGACTACTAGTACACTATCGGAGTAGGGAACCTGTTTTAAGCAGGATGAGAATCTGGCAGACATTCTGCATGTGAATTCGGACTACAAAGCAATAAATGATAGCATACCCAATGTATCTCCTCTGGTTTGTATTCTGCCCTCCATTTCAAGGTATCTTTTAACATTTTCGTAGCTTTCTTGACATTCCAGTTTCTTGCCCTTAGATGCCTTGAGATGGATCCATCAGAACAATAAATGGACAACTTATCAGGCAATGTTCCTATCAACCTCTTCACTTCGTTAATCTGTGCACATATGAACAGTGTTGCAGGGTAAATAGATTTTCTCCCCAACAATAAGGATAGTATTATCATGCCCCAACTTAAGGAATTAAAACAAGTTACAGAAAGCACTTATAGAAATGCTAAAGGAGCACTTTTACTGCAGATACCTTTGCCTGCTGCTCTTCAAATGATAAAATCTTCTCCGAGCCATTTGAAGGGGATTTCTTTATTCCCGTACTCATAGTTCTCAGAGAAGAATCTGTAAATCAACAATGAAGACTTCAGAACTTAAGTACTAATGTCTTGTTCCCATTTCAGTCTCTCCTCACCATCACTTACATATACAAAAATCTGCTAAAACAAAAGGCACAATCTCTATCCTACAAAAACAAAACAATTATTTTAAGCTTATCCCTAGAGAACCAGAATTAAATTTGTTACTTGAACACTATGGAAACTAGCATATTGCAATCACGAAGTACATCAACATATTTATACTATTGTTTTAAGATTGAACGGTCAACTCAACTCATGGCTCAATACACATTTTTATAAGCGACAAAACACTTGAATGAGCAATGAAAACAATTAAACCAATCTTATTCTGAAAAAACAAAAAGCATGATTCAAGAATGACTAGCACCTTTCAAGAATAGCCATTCTGACAGAATTCATCATGTATGGGATCACATTCATTTTTTGAAAAGAGGGATCACATTCATTTATATTATGTTTTAATTTCGTCAGAAGTTATTTAGATTTACATGCTAGTTACATCTGCCAATTACTCAATCATTTTTAGAGCCGAGAAGTTACTAATCCAACTACTATAGAAAATTAAATTGGTTTCCACAGACACAAAAAAATTGGTTTCCAAGTATCTATTTCCAAGAATCTAAATAACATCAATGACTACATTGTTGAAACCTAGTTCTCTGCTCTCAAGCTGTCAGATTTACAAATCACCCTGAACCTTGCCAAGAGTTCCACAAATTCATTCTATATAAAACTTATGCTGGATTACAACATTACATCACTTAGCATGGACCTTTTAGCTGACAGGACCACAAAATTCCTAAATTTCTCCTCCCCCCTCAAGATTATCCTCTATTTCCCACCTTTGCAGAAATTACACATGGGATCATAAGACAGTTTCAATAGAACGCCTCACCTTCATCTCCTTTTTGGAACAAACACTTTTCTGACTGCAAAAGTAAACGAACCTATGTCGTTCAACATTTTCACGATTCGATCAATAATGTCAATCCATAATTCAATCCTATGGTTTCCAAGTATCTATTTCCAAGAATATATGCATTTCCTTTCTATTACGAACAAAATTACATTGGCATTATTTTATTAACTGGAAGCAGCATATGCTTAGTCATTTCTATAAACACGAGATGACTAACAAGAATTTGTGTCACCATTCGGAAGCACTGAAATCCTACTCAAAACCTTCAGTCTCAACCTTATCCGTCATTAAGATTCATATGTTCTAGTCAATCAGACTTAAACTGAAATTGTTCACAAGTATACAGCCTTTTGAACTATATTTGCTCTCATCCAATGTACACTATTTGAAGTAAAATTTTCAACCTAATAAGCCCTTTTGTGATAGCTTTGACATGACAACTCTGGAATCACCACTAACTTGTACCTTGTAGTAATATCCAAATCTACCTAATCAGAATGTCTTGGATTGGCATTCATCTAACATACAAATAGCCGGAAAATCTATTGACATAAAATCTCCTGTTTGTGCAGCTGGGATTTGCTCATGTGGGTTTTTGCAATGTGTCCTATCTATTTGTTCATGAAATTAAATCTATATTCTTCTTTTCATAAAACCATACAAATAAAAAAAATCAACCATGGGGTATCTAATCTCAACCAACTTTCGGGTAAAGTACATGACTAAAAATCAAAAAAGCGCCTTTTAACTAACATAATTATGCACGCAATATACCAAATCAGCAATACCATGGTAAATAAAAAGTTTTTTTAAGAACAAGGAATGCAAATCAATCCGACCCACTAAAATTACGGGCATAATCTACGAAAAAAATGGCAAGATCCCACCTTTTCAAACAGATTGAAGAAGAATTGGGGGCCTCACAAAATCCGAGCTAAGCTACTATTCCGGAGCTCCTCATCAGTCCCAAACCACAGAACGGGTCAACTCTTAAAACAAGAGAGAGAGAGAGAGAAGCTGGAGATGTGGGTTCTTTGATTGTATTTGAACAAGAATATTACTCGGATCGAATCTTGGCCGATGCTGAAATCAGGTTGAAAATTGAAATGCCCAAACCAAAAACACGTGCTTTTTAGACAAAGCCAAAGCCAAAGCCTTTTCTTCTTGTTAACATTATTTTTTATGGCTTAGCCTTTTGGGGACGCATCTGCAAATCCTTACCTGAACCCGGTCGTGTTTGTGGCCATTAAAACTGTGGAAGGGTAGGTTTGACCTTTTAGCAAATCCTCATCTTCTCTGCATGGCCGTGGATCATGGTGTTTAATATTATTTAAAAAATCTCATATTTTTAAACATAATTAACGAAATATTAGTATAATAAGCATTCTCTACCTTTTATAGGTTTTCAGTTGACAAAAATATTTTTCTTAAATAATAATTCATTTTCATTAGGAAGGCCCTAGATATTATTCTGGATCGTTCTCGAATTGTACCTTATTAATTGATTGATAACAACATCACTTTCTTTCAAAAAAAATTATATAGTACATTTCATTAAAGTAAGCTTTTTTTTCTTAGTATTTATGTAATTTCGTATAATTGATACTTTCGTCGACGTCAATGTTGAAAAAATTATTTGGGCACAAGTCAAATCTCAATTGCGACGGTAATATTATTCTAACAGATAGTATTGCACTATCACTTATTTTTTTTGGGTTAAATACCTATTTTGTTATTGGATTTTACACAAAAATGTAATTTGATCACTGAAAAAAAAATTAGCCAAATTGATCAATGTGTTTCTCAAAATTTACAATTTATAGACATTTTATTATCTTATGTTAACTTTTTTTTAAGTGCAGTTTTTTTTTAAACGAGTTAGCATATATTGTGCTATTAGGTTTTAACAAATTGAGGGAAATTTTGGGTTGAAATCGGAATTGTGAGGTATAAGGTCACAAAATGGATGATATATTGAAACTTGAATCGATTGAGTGACAACTGTATTATGACTTTGAATGGCAATGAGACGTAATCAAGCTGATAGAGCACCAAAATATATTCGAAAGTTGTTGATTTTCATTTTAATTTGCTTTGGCTTTTTTATTTTCCTTATACCTCACAATTTCAATTTCAACCCAAATTTTTTCTCAATCATTAAACCCTAATAGCACAATATATCCAACTCGTTGAGTTATAGGAAGAAGACTGAAGGTTCTTCATACAAAAAACAAAAACAAAAACTGCACTTAACATAAGATAACGGAATTGTAAACTTTGGAAAACACTGTGACCAATTGGGCTATAAAAAATTCCCAACGACCAAATTGAATTTCCATGTAAAACCTAGTGATCAAAATATCATTTAACCCTCTTTTTTTTCTCTTTCTTCTTTTTCAATAATTCACCTAATCAGACACATATACCCCATTTTCATTTTATCTGAATATGTAATAATACAACAGCTCAACAAGGAACAAGGCCCAAACTGCCCATTGCCCACAAGAAGTACTTTAGGGATTGGTAATTCAGTAAACACAGGGGTTGCATTCAAAGTAAAAATGCTCCATAACATGAACATGTTGCTACTCTTGCATGTGCCATATGCCAGTGCTGTCCTTTACAAGACAAAGGGTGACACTACTATCCTAGTTAGGTCCTCACATGCCATGATGTAATCAGGGTCCCCTTTTTATTTGGTCCACACATCACATGACTGGAGAAACGATTTTTGTACCGCTGTTTGATCAATCAATAGTAAAAAAATCATTGAACGGCTTTCATGAAATGGAAATAGCACTATTTTGCTATCCGCGACCAATAACACTATGACACGCATGATAACACTTCCATGTGGCATAGCATTATTAACCAAGGATAACCATATAATGCTATCCCAATTGCAACTAAGTTTTTCTTCAAAAATCGCCCACACAGACACATTGGATCAATAGTAGAAATCACCCACACATAAAACCCACGTTTGATCAATACTCATAAATTACAAATGAGTACTGCAACAAACTTTATCAATAGTCGGAAACTACTGAGCTGAGAAACTCTCATGTTCTTTGGTCAGAGATGTAAAAGAAACTGAAGGCAAGGACGCATAGAACAAAAGAATTTATATGATTCCACAATTAAAAGATGTATGTACAAAGTTAGTTGACACTACAAGCTATGAATGGATTTTTCTTTCTAATACAATTTCTGTACTCCTCCCCCATATCTATACAGAAAATTGTAGCAATGCCATCTTTTGGCATGTGTTTATGCCTCCACTAACATTTCAAACAACAGGAGAAAAAAACATTCAGTAAAACCCACCAGACCTTTACATTCCCCTTCCTATTATGTGGTCATCATGTGCATTCTGCACGTTCAAAAATGTACATAGCATCATTCAAATGGGAACTTTCTACATCGAAGCACTAACTCTTGTTGTAGCAAGATCGAATGAGTCGGTATGTTTGTGAGAAGTGAGCTACTGAATCATCAGGAAGCTTTCCCCTAATCTCCTAGTAGCAACAATTGAATAGCAGCGCGGGCGATAATACCATCACAGGAAAAGCTTTGTTGACGCCATTGTTTGGATTCCTGAGTTATTTGGTATCCAATAAATGAGAAGAAATCATGAACAATGACACGGAAAAGAAAATTTACAGAGTTATATGCATTACTCCAATTACAAATCTATGTTTCAGTTTCAGCACATCAAATGACATTTCTTTTATAAAAATAAATAAATAAACATTTCTTACCACTGAAGATTGTAAGCTGGTGGTAGGGTACGATTTTCCACCATCTACCCAAAAGCATCCAGCCCCTTGCAAGCAATCATAGGAATGGAGTCAACGAAAACGGTTCTTCTGCAAAAGCAACTTTGTGCACAGGCCGATAGCCCCTGCCAAGTCCCCCTTAATGCCGAACTTCTCAATTAACTGAAAGATATCTGGCACAAAGTTCAGCCTTTGTCCAGCTTCAGATATCAGCACAGGAAACTAGTGCCCCAAGACCTTTCTGGCAGACCAAGAGCAACCCTTGCACCATAGGAAAAATAAAGAATGCCACAAAGCTCTCATGATGCAGAAAGAGGATTCAAAAACAACAATTAATAACTAAATATCTCTCCTTCCAACAACCCCAGCAGAACTATGTTTCCTTTGTATACCATATTGCCAGGCATCTCTGGATTTATCACCTGACTGATCAAAGTCATCCAAGGAATTCTCAAATGGAGGTTTCATAGGCCGGTAAGTTCCATTCCTAGAAATTACTGATGCACCCAACTTCTCGTCATCTTCTGATGGTGTTCCAGACCTGGATTCCACGTGCATATCCAGCGATCTATGCCTTGGTCCAGCAGACCTGAAACCCCTCATATTAGAGGAAGGCTTTCCTGGTAATGGAGTGTAAGAAGGTCCCTTTGGTACCAGAAATTCTTTGGGAAGAGTCTCCATGTCCATATAACAGTTCCTGGCCTTGGCATCGGTAATCAATGAAGCCCAGTCATCAGACTGCATTAAGGCATTTGCATTCCCCATCACCTGTTAAAAGATCCAATTTCAAATTAAAAAGTTAATAATATGTAGGTGGCTATGTGCAGGTAGATGGTGTGAACTTGACTATAATAAGCATAAATGACTAATAATGAAGAAAGAAATCCATACCCAAAGAGCCCTTCTTGCACGAGTGAGAGCTACATTCATGCGGCGGATGTCTGCAACAAAACCAACCCCATGACTTGAAGCACGCACACAGGACATGATAATCACATCACGCTCTTGGCCTTGGAAAGCATCTACGGTGTTAATATATAGATCCTTCCCTTCTTCTGAATTCAAAACATCCTCAAACTCACGCTGAAGGCATTTAAGTTGCAGTTTATATGGTGTGATTATGCCAACAGAAATTTTTCCCACCCCAAACGCTTTCAATGACTTGTGGAGATGCTCATACAACCGAACACAAAACCGTGCTTCATGTATGTTCTGATAGGAGACAGATCCCCCTCTGTGGGACTCCCGCCCATAGGTAATGTCAAAAAATATGTAAGGTCTAAGTAAAGGGTCCTTGTAGTAGGTCTCATCAGGTAAATTAGCAACACTTTCACTGTCAGTAAGGCGTCCTTGGTAGAAATATCTTGAAGGGAAATCACGGATTTGAGGATGCATCCTATACTGCACAGATAACAACATCGTCGGACATTTCGCTTGCTGGAATCTTTCAAAAAGACTTCTACTGTATAACAAGGTCCCAGCAGCCTTGCTAATAACTGTTGCGGGAAGCTGCTGAGGATCTCCAACAAGAACACATCGTGCAGCACCAAGAGAAAGGGGAGGAAGAACTGCCACTTCACTGGCTTGGGCTGCCTCATCAATCACAACCATATCAAAACCATGAGAAAGACGAGAGAACAACTTGCGACCACTGCTTGAAACAGTAGTGAAAACAATCTCAGCCTCATTGGCAAAACTTGCCTCAAGATTAGCACGAGCTTCTTCCAAGTTGAAATTGCTACCAGCACGAAACTTGCCTTCTAAAATGAACAGGCGAGACAACTCCACTAGAGTTTTATCCCTGCTTTCAACTACAGCTGCAAGGTTCTGCAGCAATGCATCTCGATTCTGGTCCCGGGCCACCAGAACATCAGGATCAACACCAACTGATCCTTGGGAGCGAACCGCAGCAGCTGCGACAGTAAGTTCTCTTTGAAGATTACTTATCTGCACTGACAACTGAGCTTCACGATTTCTTAACTGATGCATCCACCCTAAGACTTCCTCACGATTCTTGACCAAAAGCTGTTCAGTTCTCCGCTCAACCGACACAGCCTGGGCAGCGCGGGTCTGTGAATCAACACCTACTCGAGCAACATCAGGCCGATAAACTTTCATCTCACCATCAATGAATCCACGGTCAAGAACACGGGAAAGAAGCTCATCTGTTGCAGCATTAGAAGGAGCGCAAACTAACATTCTAGGTTTTGGGCAGAGCTTTGGTAGTGTACGAAGGAGATTCTGGTCCATGTTCTGAAGAACCTCATCAATTGATCCCGTAGAAACATTATCAAAGTTGCTCTCACTATTTTGCTTATAGCTTTCGGGTGCTAATTTCTTAAGCAAAGAAGTGTAGTACTGCTGGTACTGCACCAGATGGATAACGTTTAGCATTCCCCACACTGTGTGTGTCTTACCTGTTCCAGGAGGTCCTTGAACAAGAGTGAAAGGCCATGGATCTTGCCTCTTTCCACCACTTGTACCAGCTGCTGTATGCATTGCGGCCCATTGGATTGCTGCTAGCTGGGGTCCATTGAAAGTCCTATGCAAATGATCAACAAAATTCTGTGTGAAGCATTCAGGCATAGCAGGGGACTGCTGCTCATATTTTGGGAAGTGTTCTGGGCTGGGCTGAAGTATTGCAGTTTGCATCTGTGAAAGTGATCTGTCAAATTAGTATTCATGCAAATAAAACAGAATATTCAAAGCCATTACTGATCCAAAAATTTGTCACCTGCAAATTCAGACGGCGAAATGCATGCAGTGCAACATACTCCCGCTGGGTGGTTGCAAGAGAACCAAGCACAGTTAAATACCAAATTCCTTTGGGCTGTAGTTTTCTTAGAATATGATCGTCATCAACGAAGCTGGAAAAATAATATTAAAGATGAAGCAAGAGAAAGAGAGGAAGAATTTCAGCATATTTACTAAAATAATACTAGAGGAAAATCATAGAAAAACAAATAGAATTATGAAGCAACCTGTTAGAATCATAGGAGTCCCCAACATAAAAATGAAGGATTGCTCCTGGGGGATCACGAGTATCGATAGGAATATGTCGCCTCACAGTACCAGCAACACGCCCACTGATTTCAGGCTCCTCATTGTCCTCAGCTGACAAGTTGTTCCTTATGGATCTGACTGCATGACATAATAAGAGTCAATGTTAGTAATGCCGTCAGAACATTAATATCCAATAGAAATAATTTGACAAGAAACATGATCACATGTCAGACCTGATCCAGGCCTGGGGGTTGAAAGAATTGCAACATCGCCCTCCTTAAATGTCCACTTGCATCCATTTTCTGGAAGGACTATTACATCATACCACCCTAAGCCAGCAAAAGTTACACCTTAATCAGTTAACAGAACCAGGAAGAGAAAACATAGGTATTATCAGCTATACAGGCCAACCTAACTATGGTTAGCCTGTTTTACTTTTTCTAAAATTTGTATTGAGGTGTATCCATAAACTAGGAGTTGGGCTCAGTACCTCTTTCTCTCCTTTCAATGCTTCTTACACGGACCATCATATGAGCATCTCTAGAAACACCTTCAGTTAATTCCTCCCATGTGCTGTAAAGCTGTGCCCGGCATTCCTCAAACAGCAAGGGTTCAAATACTCTGACATACTCCTCAACAGATTCAAACTTTTCAGGAACACATTGGAGGTCAGTCTCCCCTGGTGCACAAGAAAATGCAAATTCAGTGGAAAGAAAAATAAGTTTGAGAAACCACACACAAAAAAACGGTTAAAACCCAAAGGAATAGAAGACGAATATTGTATGTACCAGGCTATGAGAATACATAACATAAAAGAAATCAACAGCTTAAGTACCATTGCTGCCTACCAAGGAATGAAATATTCCATATTAATAGAAGCTTTTCAAGCCTTTCCACAAAGACAAGGTTTAGAAAATAAATAAACATATAAATGCACAAGTTACTAAGCCAAATTATGGATTTCAATTTATACTTCATGTACTTACAAACAAGAAACCGACAATCACAGGAAAATATCCTTCCAGAAATAGTAAATGTGTTGTTTGCTCTCCTCATGAGATGGAGATTCCTACAGAAAAGATTGTATGTTGTCCCAATAACAATAGGTTCAGTACGAAGGAATACTCTCCCAAGAGGACATCCTGATTATTGAATACCCACCACATGAAACTGTATAGATCCCTCCACTATATGTGGGCCTGGGCAATACAATATCAACTTTCACTTCTTAAAAACTAATATAAGGAATCACAGTTGACCAAATTCACGTTTATTAGAAAATACAAACCAAACAAAGGCGGCAGATATATATATCAAAACATTAACACTTCAATCAAAACATCCCCCCACCCCTCCCTATCCACCAAAACAAACAACAACGTACACTATGAGAACTTTGCACACAAGAGGGCATGTGATGGTGATAAGAATTACAAAGTGAAATTGAGAAAATCAATGAATTATGTCAATTTGGAATCTCGATTTCACACTATAATTGTCATCACCTTCCAAGTCCTTTGTGTGCTATGAGTCTCATAATGTAACAATTGGAGGGCCATGGAGCACTGGCATAAGAAAATCAGGAAAGCTGTCAACACAGATTGCCCAAAGTTCCCAAGAGTAACAAAATTGGGAACCATGTCACTAAGAACTAGTCAACATTAATGAACATAAACAGAAAAACAACATTACTTTATACCTGGGTGATGCCAAAACTTTTCGCTGGTAACCTCTCGTATAAGACGCTCAACCGATGTGTCTTGGTACGTGTTACTGATTGCTATTTGCTTCTTTGCAGGAAGAGGCTTCTTGTTTCCCGATTTGGAATCGATGGAACTTTGAGTGACCAGAGCTGGCTTCCTATTAGCAACCTGTGAATTCTTCAGCTGCCTCATATCTGTGGGCTGTTTCCATGAACTCTGTCTTGGAATTGGTGGTAAGACCTCTGCAGAAGGATCAGTGTCGCCATTTTGCTTTCTAGTCCTGGGCAGTAATCCATAATTAGCATCCCCATTAGATTCAGACTTACATTCACTGGACTCTACCACAGTCCCTCCTTCACTACACACAACATCAACTTGTTTCTGGTCCTTTATTGTCGACTGTGACTGCTTTTCCCCAACGCGTTCTGTAGGTGGAGGAATTGTACGAACCTCCTTCAAAGTGCGAGTTGTTACAGGTGTGGGAAAGGGTTGTCTTCTTGGTGTTGAACTTTTGATAGGGCCAGCTTGCTTAACATCTTCCAAATTAAGGAACATTGTCTGTCTATTACGTTTCTTTCCCAGCTTTGCTTCATTTAGTTGGTTTATCTTCCTCTTCATTGGATTGGTTGCACACTTGACTGCATGGATTGCTTCAATGCCTTTAACTTTCTCTTGTTTTGGAACCAAGCCAGGTTCCTCCTGACAATCCATGGATGCCTGACCTTTAGCATTACTGTCTAAGTTGCGGCTACTGTTGCTATTCTGATCATGATCAAATCCTAAAGACGTATGACTGCTATTTTCATCCTTGAGACTTTCTGAAATCTTCATATTGCAAGAACTGCCATCTGGAGAAACAGCAGAAGCACATCCAACAATCACTCCAGATTTTCCTTGCACTTGTGAAGTTTTACCTTCATGCAAACTGCCACTTCCATATGCTTCAGCAGATCCCTCAGCATCATCAGACCACTCTCCTTCTTCTCTTTCCGCAGATGGAGCATTTGCAGAAGCAGAAGCTAAAGTTGGTACTGGTTTTACATCCTCATCCTTACTTGACTTAGATATTGATGAACTGTTGGGATTATCATCTCTTGCCTTCTGCTCAGCACCACCTTCAGAGCCATGAGCATATTTAGGCCGGACAAAAGGTTGAAAACCTGACACAGATGATGCGTGTGAAAAAGCATGATTATTAACAATTCTTGGTGCAACAGCTGCTACTGCAAGCACTTCAGAACTGTGGGGGTTTGTAGAAGGAAGTGCCTTTTGTGGCTGGAAACGGACACCATCATTCTCTTCATTATCCTCGGCAGGGGGTTCATTGAGATCAAATAATGGCCTTCCTCGAGAACCCATCTCATATGTAAATACATACAAACTAAACTATATTTCCAAGAAAGTTGAACGGAGCTTTTCGTGATTTCCTTCTAAGAAAACATTCAAATGAAATGCAACCAGTTAGGTGATAGCAAATCATCACAGACAAAGCATACACATTAAATGCAATCAGTGACTTCTACAATGAAAGAGTTCAAGAAGTCTAGTGACTTCTACAAGCATAAGAATCCATCAACAATGGTAATCCAGCATCAAACAATTAATTATAACCAAGCCACAAGACACACACATTGCATGTTAAAATATACAGTTATCAAGCCTAAAGGAATAAAAAAGAATCATAAAACGCATTAATTTCAAAAACTTAAAATGGATTCGAGATGCGTAAACTGGTTTTTCAAGAACAAGAAAATGGTTTTTGATTCTATTAAGTCCCCAATAGAACTTATAGTCAAATAAGCATATATAAAGAGATCATGTCTAGCAGCATGGGCAACAAATGGAACCAGAAAACTTAAGCACCGATCACTTGAGACAATACATACAGGAAACCCTAACAGAAACTAGAGCAGAGCTCGCAAAACTGATAAAATGAAAAAACCCAAATCTAAAAACACAGTGCTTGATCCAATTAAATTCAAATTACCTACTTCAGATTGAAATCTCAATTGCAATCCCAATCCTCACCAACTGACCTAGCATTTTGTTCTAGGGTTTCATCCACAACCAAACACTCCAAATCCCAACACCAACCCTCAAATCCAACTCGCACCCAAACAGATCGAACCCACAATTCGTTCAGCAAATGTTCATGCATTCATCTAATCAGTCAAGCCAAAAGATTCAGTCTTTCTCCAATTCCATTATTCATGCTACTGATCTTCCGCATCGCAACAAACAATATTTACAAATTAAAATTAAATTTTAAAATATAGCGGATAGAATTTTTACCTCTTTTAGAGCTTCGTGTGTATATTTAAGAGAGGAAGATAATTTAACCAAAAATAAAATAAATAACAGAGGAAGCCTCTATAGGGTAAGGGTTTGAGAGAGAGCAACAAGAGAACAAGAGAGAGAGAAGGAGAGACAGATAGCAAATATGAGAGAAAACAAGGGCCTGGTGACGGGTTTATATAGGAAATATCAAAGCCTTCGCCGACCGGTTTTTTCTCCGGCCACCGTTATTTTGTTCCCGGCAATTTTTAATTCTACCCTTTATTTTATTTTATTTATCGCTTCGAGAATCTGAAATTCCAAAACCGCCCTCCCTTCTCCTGCTTATAACCGACTCTGTTTTGCGGGTTTGAATTTGACTAGGATAGCTTCAGGGATAAGGTGGAGGGTAATTTCGGGATTTTAACAGCGGTGGATTAGGGTAATCCGAGGGTTTAGCTTACGTGCAACACGCTCGCACGTAAGAATCTTACGCTCCAAGGCAGTAGTAGCGACAGTTCGGTCAGTTTCGGCCGTGGGCCCCAACAAATAGCCACGTGTACGGCAGAGATTTTGTGATCGACGCATGATTCCTTGATTGGATGTTTATGCGGTATTTCATTTTTAATTTTAATGGCCGCGGAGGGAACGGTGTAATATTTATGAAATCAGCAGGGTATAAAGGTCATTGTCACAAAGGAGGGAGGACGATCCCACGTGCTTTTAAAGCGGAGGGAAAACACAGACCCATGGTACGGCAACAGTGTAGCATTGTGTGTACGACACGCCAAAGCGAGGCGCGTGGGAAGGCAGTGGATGTGTCCTTTTTTTCTTGGTTGATAAATTTAGATAAAAAAACACCTAAATTACTAAAGTTCACTTGAAAACGTGTATAAATGTCATGAATCCATTAAATTTTGTTATTATAGAAAATGGGATTTTATGGGCAAGAAGCTAAATTTGGACCATAATAAATAGGAGGAAAATATTGGTAAATGACTATTCTGCCCTTGTACTTTCATGATGGCACTGTTGAGGGTGGTTACATATTCAATTAATTTAGACACCCACATAACTCATATTGGTAGCAGTGACCAAAACTCAAGAATCTCAACGTGTTCTAGAATGGAACAGGTACTATTTCATGCTGCTAAAGCAAAATTTAAAATAAATAAAGGTTGACTTTATATACCCAAAAAAAAATATTAACAAAAATTTGGTTCAGATTTTATTGATATTGCACTCAATTAAGTTCGTTTGGAGTAATGCTACTCTTACCACATTTGTATACCACATTCTGATACCATCAATTAAAATGTGTCAATAAATCATAAAAAATAAAAAAATTGTTAAATTAATTTAAATTGATATGGATGTCCACATCATCTACCACATAAGGTGGTATGGAAATGTGATGTACAAATGGGATAAGAATAGCATTACTCTTTTCTTTGCACCAAATGAAATCTAGGAATCTTTGTAGATGCAATTGGAAATATATATTTTTTTTGACATAATAAATTCAAACATTATAAAAAGTCTTTTAGGAAATTACAACTACGATTTTTCAAACAAACCATATGGACCAAAATTGAGGCAACTCAGTTTGGGGGGGCTGAGCCATTTAGGTCTGGAGGTTTGGAACTAGCAACTAGGCTATTTTTTGGGAAATTTTATTCTGATTTAGGGTGGGTCAGAGCAGACCTCAGCCACCCCTTGGACCATACTCTATATTATTTTTCCCACCCTATCATGTCCTATGTACTCATAAAACGTATGCTTCACATTTGCTATAGACACGCATGGGCTACATGTGAGACACTCGTTTCATAACGTTCATTAACGAAGGTGTATGCAAGTTTTTCTCATATTTCTGTAATGAAACTTCTTGTAACTCTTTTAATTTATTTTTTAAAATAAGGTGGGACGAATCCCAAAACCCAAAAAAAAAAAAAAAACTAACAAATAATACTTCGGGTCAATACTCAGCTTAATGTATGATCATCCAAGATAAGAGCCAAAGAAATAGGGAAGACATCAAAACTATGCAAACCCAAAGACGGTTGTGCCCCCATAGCAACAAGATGATCAGCAAAACTTCTTGTAACTCTAAACGTTATTCAAAGAAGCAACCTGATTCCATAAGTTTGTATAACCTGTTAAAATTTTAGAAACAGAACACCACAATGTATGTCGAATAAACACTTTAGGTAATGTGATCACTATAAAAGCAGCAGCCCTTCTTTCTTTTTTCAATGAATGAAGATGTCTTTCTTCTTTCTTTCTCAATTTTTGTACAGGAAAGAGAATATTTTCAAATGCCAATCCTTGATGCCTATGTTCTTTCATAAATAGATATATAGCCTTGTATAATCGGTATAGTCTTTCTCTTTCTTAGGGTTTAGATGTCATGTAATTTCATGTTTTTATTCAAAAATAGTTAACTCTAATCAGATATGTTTAATTAATCGTATCAAATGCCTCAAGCCCTAATTAATCGTATTTGGCCATTTTTAAGTGTTCCATATAGTCCATGAGTAACATTTTCTTTTAAGTAACTTTGGCATTTCTTTAGAGAAAAGTAGCTTCGATATTAAATTTAAGAATCGACTGAAACAAAAAGAGAGAATAAATTTATAATAGTAATAATTCTATGTATGCAAAACTTCCCATCCATTTCCTACCTTTACTTTTATTTTCACTCTTAACCAACTCACCCTCCTCCTCCGAATCCTAACTTTTTTTTCCCCACTTAAAATTGTCATCATCACATTGAATTTCAACTTTCTTTTCTCACTTCTAATTCTCATCACATTGTCTACATACATGCATGGCGCATGCGAATTATTCAAGTAAAAGACAGTATTCATCTCAAATATAATAAAACATTTTCTATAAAAACAAAAGCGCTTTCCACAAATAAACCGATTCTAACATGACATATTATAAAATAAAAAATTATGAAAGAAAAATAATTCAGCTGTAATAAATTTCCTACCTTTTTCTATTCCTTCTACTGTTTTTTAGCTCAGATAGCACGTGGCTACGAACAGAAAGATAAATTGTGATTATAAAGGAAGGTTAAATTCTTAGCAGGGTTATCTTATATATGGTAAGGGTGGTCGGTGGTAACTAGTAATTGCCAATTTAAGAATAATATGATATTGGAGCGTGACAAAACTACCGTATAGTTTGGTGGTGACACATTGTGGTTGTTGGATGCCCACACGAGGAAAATATATTAAATTAGTCAAAAACAACAAATGTGGAAATTGCGCTTTGGCCCCTCTAATGTTTTGGATTATATGCCATGTTTGTATAACATGACAAATCTTTTAGTTTAGATTTTAGGCTTTAGGAAGTATTTATTTAAAATTTGAAATTTTATATCATGGCTATTGACATGTTTACTTTATCTAGAATTGAAATAGGGAGACGAGGTGAAAAAGACTTGGAGTATGACGAAGCAAACTGAAACATGCATACCCAAATTAGAGTGTTTATTAAGTCTTTGGAAGTGTAATGGTAACAAGGCTAATTATAATTAGTATGTTTACTAATTGTTTAGTTGGAATTGGAGTCAAAGCTAATTTGATTTATGAAAATTGGGAAGGCGATTGTTAATATTGTGTGGGCCTCGCCTTTATCTTTGTTCTTAACTGATAGTAAATACTGAGATTACTTAAAACAAGAATGACTCATTTACATCTCTTCTCCTAATTCCAACAATGGAGATTACAAGAATGTTTAATTTAGGAGGAGGAAAATATATTAAATTAGTCAAAAACAACAAATGTGGAAATTGCGCTTTGGCCCCTCTAATGTTTTGGATTATATGCCATGTTTGTATAACATGACAAATCTTTTAGTTTAGATTTTAGGCTTTAGGAAGTATTTATTTAAAATTTGAAATTTTATATCATGGCTATTGACATGTTTACTTTATCTAGAATTGAAATAGGGAGACGAGGTGAAAAAGACTTGGAGTATGACGAAGCAAACTGAAACATGCATACCCAAATTAGAGTGTTTATTAAGTCTTTGGAAGTGTAATGGTAACAAGGCTAATTATAATTAGTATGTTTACTAATTGTTTAGTTGGAATTGGAGTCAAAGCTAATTTGATTTATGAAAATTGGGGAGGTGATTGTTAATATTGTGCGGGCGTCGCCTTTATCTTTGTTTTAAACTGATAGTAAATATTGAGATAATTTAAAACAAGAATGACTCATTTACATCTCTTCCCCTAATTCGAACAATGGAGATTACAAGTATGTTTAATTTAGGAGAACTTTTATTGTCAACCACAATGAGAAAATGTAAAATAGTCCCTTCATTCTTTTTAACAATTTTTAATTGGCATGTTTACTTATCAGGAATGGAACTCAATCAACTACTCCCCTAGTTGATCTCATTCATGATTTTAAGAGTACTTGATTATGGATTTTAATATAGAACTCACATAATTTTTGATTCCTTATATATATTAATAAACGTAGGGAAATAGATGAATTAGAATCATTCCAATACCCATATAATAGAAAACACATGAAAAACATGAATTGAAATCATTCCGATACTAATACGTAAATATGTCATTAACTCTCATTATTTATTTCAACCAATTACTCGTTGACAATCCACTTATTTTTTTTTACACTTTATCTTCCATGCAAATGCATAGCATGTGTCATCCTTATAGTTGAAATTAATATTATCTTGTGACCTAAAAGTTAATGTCATCTTAATTTCTTAATGAAATGTAAAGTCTTAGTTGTTATGTAACGTTTCAACGTTTTGATTTAAATATAAAAGTCCAATATTGTGTTCGAGTAAAAATATTATCATTTTTTAGTTTTTAAAGTATTTACGAATTAAAAATTTATGGACCGATCCCTGGCTTGCTTTCAAAGGCCCAAAGCGCTCAATTTCGTCCAAACTCCCAAAGCCCTCAATTTGCAGCAACAATGGCGGTTGGGTGGAAGCCATTGTTGCCCCTAATCGCAGTCTCAGCTCTGTTCATCTACGAAGAGTGGGTCTCATCTCCTTCCTGCAAAAGGGTACCTAGCCCTAACCTCCATGGCCATGAACCCAACCAGGACCACCCAGACGACCTCAAGGTCATGATGGTCGCCAATCTCCTCCTCTTGGGCTCCGAGGCCGGCTACTTCAACCTCCTCTTCAGAGACT